TCTGAATCTGCAGATTCAGACAGTATGGAAGTGGAAGACGGTCTAGAAGTTCCCGATCATCTGCTTCCGCGCAAAACTAAAAGGAACACAGGAACAACAAACATCAATCATAATGGCCACCCTCGTCTCATGGAACTGTCGCGGTTTCCACCGAAATTTGCTCGACATCAAAGCCATAATCAATGCTTATCATCCTGTATGCTTCGCAATACAGGAAACAAATCTAAAACCAGAACAACAGGCAAAACTTCGGAGGTTTTCTTTCGTCAGGAAAGATAACATTGCAGGTGAACGTGCCAGTGGAGGTGTAGGTCTCCTCACCTCACTGGATTATCCCTCAAATGTGCTTTCTTTGACGACATCCAAGTTGTCGCTACTCAAACAAATTTTGATATTGTTGTTACAGTCGTTTCTCTGTATTTGCCTCCAAATGAGCATATTGATCAGCAAGATTTAAATGGTCTTTTAGAGCAGCTGCCTGAGCCTTTCATCATAATAGGAGATTTTAACGGCCATAGTCCGCTTTGGGGTAGTAAAGATACAAATTGCCGAGGGAGACAAATTGAGCAGATGATCGAAGATCATAGCCTTTGTCTCCTGAATAATGGGCAGATACTTACTTCCATGAGCCTACAAAGACATTCCATGCTCTCTCGACCTTGCCATCTGTTCACCATCTCTGTTGCCATTTTGCACTTTTAGTGTCGGAAATGACCTGTACAACAGCGATCATTATCCTATTTTTGTGTCCCTTGCACGAAGAGGAGCAAATCCCATGACGAGACTCCCTCGTTTTATCCTGGACAGGGCAGACTGGGAACTCTCTCTTCTTTCCATTGCAGAGCTCACACATCAAATGGTAGAAGGTGTGCATATCGATGACGCTGTTGAAGCTGTTACTAATACTATTATTCAGGCAGCTATGCTCTCCATTCCTAGAACATCAGGAAAACTACTAAAATATTCGAAACCGTGGTGGAATCGCGACTGTCATGAAGCACTGAAAAAACAGAAAAAAGCATGGGGTATTTTTCGTAGATATCCTACTCTGCGAAACCTCATAGCTTTTAAAAGAGCCAAAGCAAATGCACGGAAAGTAAGAAGGCAGAGCCAGAGGGATTCCTGGATTTCATATGTGTCCTCAATAACATCCTCTACGCCTAGTAAGCGGGTTTGGGAAAGAGTTCGAAAAGCATGCGGAATGTATAAAGACCACTCACTTTCCTTTCTGGAAAAAGATGGCCGAGTGATTAGCTCCATAGAAGAAATTGCAAATACAATTGGTGAGACATTTGCTGCCGTTTCTTCCAGCCGAAATTACTCACCTGCATTTCTTTCTATCAAGCAACACTCTGAAAAAAATCCCATCGCTTTCAACTCTTCCAACTTTGAGCCGTACAATAGAGACTTTACTATGGTTGAACTAAAGAGAGCTTTGTTGCAGACACATAGGTCTTGTCTGGGTCTGGATGGCGTGTATTATGAAATGCTAAAGCATCTGTCCTATAAGTCACTGAGTGCCCTTCTCACACTTTACAATAGAGTGTGGAAGGAGCGTACATTTCCCAGTGCATGGAGGAGAGCTATTGTCATTCATTGACAGCCAGGGAAAGACCCGAGGAATCCCTCGAACTATCGGCCAATTGCCCTTACCAGTTGTGTTTGCAAACTGTTTGAAAAGATGGTAAACAGCCGCCTAGTCTACTTCTTGGAAAAGAATAATATTATATCGCCTTATCAGAGCGGTTTTCGAAAGGGGAGAACGACCGTAGACAATATGCTTCTATTAGAGACATCTATTCGAAAAGCCTTTGTCAGAAGAAGTCACCTTGTCTCAATATTATTTCGACATTGAGAAAGCTTATGATAAGGCATGGAGATACGGGTATACTTCCGGGATCTTCACGAGAGTGGCTTGCGTGGCAACCTACCAATTTTCATTTACAGAATTTCTTGAACGCTAGGAACTTTTCAAGTAAGGATTGGCTCTGTTTTTTTCGGATATTTTTCAACAGGAAGAGGGTGTGCCTCAAGGCTGTGTGCTTAGTGTAACCCTGTTTAGTTTAAAAATAAACTCTGTATTAAAAGAACTTCCTCCCACCATCTTGGGATCTCTATATGTTGATGATCTGCAGATTAGCTGTCGAGGAGCAGACATGAGATATGTAGAGCGGCAACTGCAGATGGCTCTGAATAAGATCCAAGAATGGTCAGACAAACAGGGATTTACATTTTCGAAACAGAAAACTGTGTGTGTTCACTTTTGTAGGAAGCGTGGTCTGCATCCTGAACCTGAGTTATATTTGAATGGTACAATTATTCCAGTTACGCCCGAAGTAAAATTTTTAGGAGTGACGTTCGGACCGAAAATTGACTTTCCTTTCCTTTCTCATGTTTTAAACCTGAGAAAGAAGTGTCTAAAAACATTAAATATTTTAAAAGTGTTGGCGAACACCTCCTGGGGTGCAGAGTGTTGCTCCATGCTTCGCATTTACAGAGCCCTTGTTCGCTCTAGACTGGACTATGGCTCAGTTGTTTATGGATCCGCTCGGTCATCAGTTTTGTTAAAACTCGATCCTGTTTCCCAATCAAGCTCTGCGGATTTGTTCAGGAGCTTTCAGGAGTTCTCCTGTCCAGAGCCTGTATGTCGACTCTAACGAACCGTTACTTTATCTGAGGCGTGAGCAATTGTCCCTTTTGGAATATTTTAATATTCTATCGCCACCTGAACATCCCAATAAGCTATGCTTATTTGATAATGTGTGTAACAATCTATTTGAAACACGTCCCTCCTTTTTTCCTACCTTTCCTTTAAGAGTTCGCCCTGTCCTTGAGGAACTTTCCCTCTCTGATACGCACCCCGAAGCAATTCAGAATTTTGAAATCCCACCTTGTGAAAAGCACGAATTTAGCTTCTTGATGTTTTCAAGCATCACGTGAAGGCAAGCACTAACGAGATCGTTTACAGACAATTCTTTGCTGAGCACAGGCAGAAATATAGCAGTTATTATCCGATATACACAGATGGATCGAAGTCAAATGATCATGTCGGGACGGCTTTTGTATTTGAAGATTACATTGAGGGCAAATGCCTGCATCATGCTTGCTCAGTCATAACATCTGAACTAACTGCAATACATTATGGTCTTTTGTACATATCAAAGCTCTGCCATAGAAAGTTCATAGTTTATACAGACTCGTATAGTGCTCTTAAATCCTTGGAAGCTTTTCCCAACAATCAGAATCCTGTGGTTGTGGATGTTCTAAAAATTCATATAAATTTAACACTTTGAGGTTATGAAGTCCTGTACTGCTGGGTTCCTGGACATGCTGGAATAAAGGGAAATGAGCTTGCAGATATCGCAGCCAAATCTGCTGTTGAACTGTCCAGTCGCCTTATCCCTTTTAGAGATATCTGCAGTGTCATCAAAGGAAAGGTCCGAAAAAAATGGCAGCAAATTTGGGATGTTCAGCATCACAACAAGTTGAAAAACGTCAAGCCTAGAATTGAGCATTGGGATTTTTCTGGAAATCGTAAGGAGGACGTTCTTTTTTTTGACTCGCCTCAGAATTGGTCACACTAGAGTCACACATAACTTCTTCTCAAAGCTGAAAATGAGCCTGTTTGTTTTAATTGTAATGTTTGTTTTATCTGTTCATCATATTTTAATTGAGTGTCCTGTTTTAATAATCTTCGCCAGAAATATTTTAATAGCTGTGACTTACCTCTCGACCGTTTAATCGGAAGAGAGGTCAATTGTAATTTATTTTACTATTTAAAAGAGATTGGCTTTTATTACCTAATGTAATTTGTTTTGAAGCCTGTGTCTTGAATTTTAATATGTGCTTTTAACTTGTTTTTATATGACTTCATCCTCTGGATTTGGTACATTTATCTACTTGTTTTTATTCATTGAATTTTAATGACTTCAATTGTAATCATCCCATCTTGTGTTTGGCGCGTCATAATCATCTCTGGTTTTTGCGCCATAATCACTCACTCACCCCCTTCCCGTACACAGAGAGTCCTTGAGTAGCTTTGCTTTAGCTTCTTTTAAATTTCCTTTGCTATTACTTTGTAATTTCATTCTATAAATGCATGTGATGAAATATGAAATTTTGATTTTTTTGAAAATATGGTTAACTTGAATTCAAAGAGTAACTTTATACTAAAAGATTGATAGGTCCTCTTTTTTATTATTTTATTTACTTATTTTTTTCAAAATAATTTGCTTAGATATAAATGTCAAGAATGTAGTTCATATTTGTAATAATGAACCTTTGCATCTTAAAGATTAAATACATTATCACAGTTGGTCATTATATCAAAACTGGCTGAATAAACAATTAAATGGTGGTCTTTTGTACAGGTTATTGTAATAAAATGGTCACTATAACAAACGTCATATGAATGATTGTCAGCTACAAATGATCTCTGTAACTAGTGCCATTATAGTGATTTTCAACTGCACTATATTTAAAATTTTAGAAAATGGTATAATTAGAATTGAGAATATGGCATATGAATTCAGTATTGAATAACTTGAATTTCAATATATCCTTAATTCATGATTTATCTCTGAACACATCAACTCTGAAATTTTCAGTACTTTATCTGAGTAGAGTGATAGAATTATTATTTCTGATATCATTAACATATTTAGTAAGGGTTCTAATGATGTGGTTTGCTTATTTTATTTACAAATGGCTATTTGCATGGTCCAGAAATCTTTGACTATTCCTTTACTTAAGCAATTAATCAACATAGCAACGATCTTAAGCAATTAATTAACACATGATAGCGAACTTCCGCGTTAGCTCCTGAAGCTGCTTCTAGTCTGTAGTAGTAGTACCTGCTGTAATGTCAAAGTCTGCAAATTAGTTTACTTATGTTTTTAATTGGTCAGTGAATTGTTATTCTAATTATGAAATATGATATGTAGCTATCCTCTATTTTTTGTTAAAATTCTAAGCCACAGTCATTATATTTTAATTTTCAGGACTTTCTTCTGAATGCTGTTGATGGTGAAATCTTCAAACCACTCTTTATAAATTTCTCTGCACAAACTAGTGCTGGTCAAACGCAAAATATTATCATGGGAAAATTAGATAAGCGGAGAAAAGGTCTTTATGGTCCTCCTCTTGGCCAAAAAATGGTGTGAATGAAAATATATTTTTAAAACATTTTATTTTATCTGTTTTCATGTACATTTGTTCTTTTTATGTATATTTTAAGATTCTTAACTGCCATTTTAAAATTATAAAATCCGAAATGGCTGAAAATTTGCTTAAACTTAATACAGTTAAGAAATAAACAATTTTTAAAAATTTTTTGTTTATAATATTTATGAACTATTCCTGTATTTTATTGCGATTAATTTTAAAATCTGTATTTTTTCTCTGGGTACTTTCATAAGTTTGTCCAAATATACTAAGTGGACTGGGATGTAATGCCATTTTGAATAATAAAATATTTAATGCTTTGATCAATTACATAATTACTATAATTATCAAGAATGATTCCACATCTTGGAATCAATACTGAATATCCTGTTTATAAAAGCACGACTGTTTGGATGCAAGAAAATCCATGAGACTTGTTTGATCTGGCCATTATTTTGAAATTATGATTTCCACAAGAAATGGTCCAATGATCAATACAGACATTAATCTGTCAGAACAATCTCTGTTGAATATGGTGGATGAAGTAAACTTCCTAGCTTAATTATCTACTCATAATCTTTTGCTGGGTCTCTTGTAGTTTTGCTTTGTCATGAAAAGTGATAATACCTTTCTTGTTGACCAGTGTGGATACTTGAAGTTTAATTTAAACAAACTGTTGAAATGCAGTCTGCGGCAATAGCTTGATTAGATTTCAGTAATTTAAAGGGAATTAGACAAGCAGTTTTCTACCAAACATGCAAAAAATCGTTATGTGCATGGAATCCATATTCATCTGTTGCAACGTGTATCTAACTTGGTTAGAGAGTGTTTCTTTTCTTTCTCTCTTTTATACTTTACAGTTAACCTACAGAACCCATTTCTTATCTCTGATGAAATTTCAATGAAGAAATTGTACTTTTTCAAATTTACTGAGCAAGCAGTTGTAACAATCAAACTCTGGGTCTAATTGTCAGCTGAGAGTTTGTATAGTATCCAAACTGTGCATCATGATGATTTGCTGTAGATGCTCTTGCATGCTTAGTCATAGTGAATCCAGTTATTTGGTTGATTCTGTAATTGTGTAACAATTTAGTAGTCTTGCCGAGTTCTGTTTCAATAAATGGGCATCCACAATTTCCTAGCCAGAATTTGGCAAACCACTGCTGGCTGGTAGTTCTGTTTCGATATAAAATACATATGTTTCTGGTGGCCACTGCTGCATCGTTCCTCCTGCAAAATTCGCAAAATATGCATGCAATGAAGAAAATGACTTCACTCAGGTTGTCTGTTACTCTTTTCAATTAAAGTATATAAAAGAAAATGGTTTTGAAATTTTCTGGCAACTATTTCATTCTCTGTACATATGTTTATTTCACTACTCAGTAAAGTTCATTCAAAATTGCAGCATATAAAAACGACATTATTTATGGTTCACCTAATATTGCTAACAGGTGTAGTTATAAATCACTTTAGTATGATAGCATAATACTTATTTTCTCCTATATTCTGTATCTCAAATATTAATCTCTCATGCTTGCTTATTTCAAATAAACTGAATTTGTGCTTCTTGACAATGCTATTTTAGTTTTGCACTGTTTGTTTCCATTAATGTGTGCATATAAATAACTTTGCTTATTGACACTAGAAACGTATAGAGAAGTCATTCCCCCCCCCTTTTTTTAAAGCTATAATGTCAAGTTATCCCAGGGTATTTTCTTTCTTTTCCCCATCGACAGAACAGCTGGCCCACTGTATTAGGTGCTCTTCAGCCTGTTAGATCCTATTGATGGAATTTAAAAAAAAAAAAATAGTTTAGTACTGTGTCCTTTGGGAATAGATTACATTTAGAGCTTAGTGCTGTGTCCTCCAGGAATTGACCATGCTAAACGAGGAACATTAAAAGAAGAACCAGAACATGGGAAGAAGGTGCATAGTAGGGACTGTTGGAGACTAAGGAAAACACCTTTCACCATTATGATACATGTTAGGCATACAGATATATTAAGGACATGGTATAGACACAGGTACAAATGTAAAGATGAAATCTGAACAAATACATTAAAGAAGTGCTGGATTAATCATAATGTTAAGCATAATTTTTTTAAAAAACAAGACATTAATTAAATTAATAAATGTAGAAAGCGGGCTGCTGACGGCTTAGTGTCCGAGGAAAGAACTCCCATCATCCCAGGGTACTAGGTGATTTATTACAACCTGGTAATTGTTGTCATTTCATGAGACATAAGATTTTTTAATTTATCATCCAAAATGGCTTGAGAAGAAGCCAGCTTTAAATCGGGAGCTGCCAGGACCTCAGATTGGTGTCGGTAATCTCAAAATGTAACAAAGGGCTTACAACAAAGTTCACCTGAAGCCTGGCTTAAATTATAAGACCCGTCCCAAAAAAAGCATAAAAGGTCAAATTTATGTAACTGCAGTAAAATCAATCAATACAATTTCTTATTTGTTAAACTAAATAATAGTTTATGTTATAATTTTGACTTGAACTGAGAAGGAAGAAAGGAATGATAAAAATTGAGAACTGTCTTTGAGTGATTCCATTTAATGTAACATCTTTTAATTTATCTCTCAAATTATAAGTACAGTTGCTTCACGTACTGAGTGATTTAAAAGCAATAAACATACACCATAATAATATTTAATATTATTGTTTATTTATTTAGATTGTTTTTGTTGATGATTTGAACATGCCAATATTAGAAACTTATGGTGCTCAACCTCCTATTGAGTTGTTACGGCAGTGGTTGGATCACTGGACATGGTATGATATGAAAGAAGTTGTTCCTATGAAATTAGTAGATGTGCAACTTATTGCAGCCATGGGCCCTCCAGGTAAATTTGCCCTTGATATTAGAAACTAGCATTCAAAAATTTTTAATCAGTGAGATATTTTTATTTTTAAATTTTATTTTATGTTCTTGGTATAAAAAAATGTTACATTATGTAGCATAAAGTATGACATATTAGATATACTATATTGTGTGTATGTATGCTGTAGGGTTTTCCCTGCAAAGTTATAAATATTATATTTAGTTTTATCAGAAATTTTCTCAAATTCTTATAAGAAATATCCATTTACTATATATTCCAGCACATAATGTGCACTAGTGTAATAACTTCAAACTATATTTTTTTTCATTTTTAAGCATATTTTCCATATAATGCACCGCCTTTTCTCTGTGAAGAAACCTGAAAGATACATGTGCAATGCTCTTATCTTTTGAAGTCTTTCATTTGAACATTTTTTTCAGGCAAACAATGATATACTGAATGACAAGTGATAAGAGAAACAATGTGTGTGGGGTAAATGCTTGAAAGGAGTAAGTAATTCTGCAAAGAGGGTAGGTTGTATTCAGTGCAGATGTGCACAAGACTGTTATTCTAAAGTTTTGAGAAAAGGAGATATAATTTGGGATAAGAATGCACTTCTGACTCTAATGAATTCACAGTAAGTGTCAGATGTTTTTTTTTTCTGCAGTCATTAGAAGATTTTATTTTTAAGTGATCATGGAAGGCTTTAGTAAATCCCATCTGCTTTAGTTGAAATACATTTGATCTAGTGTTCCTTTTAGTAGTAAATATGGTTTCTGCCAAACAAAACAGATGCAGTGCTGGTTTCAAATGCAAAGTCATTCAGTGTGCATCAGAAAATGGAAATCATGCTGCAGGAAGGATATTTGTTCTCGGTGAAAGCTTCATACATGAGTGGGAGAAGAATGAAATCACAATAATTAATATGTCAAAGAATAAATGTGCTTTGTGTGAATGAGTAATGAAATGTCCTAGCCTAGAAGAAAGTGTTGTAAACTGGGTTCTAGAAAATCGCCAAAAAGGATTAATTGTAATAAGAAACATAAATTCATAAATTTATTTGCCTTAAATTGAGTGAAAAGAATGCAAATAAAAGTGACAACTTTAAAGGAACTTTGAGTTAGTGTAGTCAATTTATGGCATGAAATAATTTAGTTCTACAAGAAAAAATAAAAGTTTTTCAAAGTCTTCCAATAGATTTGGACAACAAATTGATAAGTTTTCAGAAATATGTTATTGACCTATGAAAGCAAAAAAAAAAAAAAAAAAAAAAAAAAAAAAAAAAAAATTCTCTCACATATTGAAAATATGGATGAAACTCCGGTAATGTTTGATATGACAGAAAATAAAATAGTTGATATGAAAGGAACAAAAATGATTCACATGAAAACAACAGGTCACAAAAATTCTCCCTTTACCTAGTGCTTTCCTGCTTAGAGGACAGCTTTCATTTATTAAGATAAATTCAAATCTTAAATAAAAAAACAAAATTCAATTCTATATAATAATATATATTCCAAATGACAGAAAATATGATGACTAGATAAATGCAAGGGGTTAATTCCACTCAGGGATTAATGGATTTGTAAAAAGAAAAAAGATTCTATGAAGATAGTGAAAAATGCTAATAAATTAAAGTGATATAACAGAAATTTTCTGTTGCAATGACATTATCCCTGTCAGTAATCAGTTAATGGATGATGAAATCTGTAGTATAGATTTAAATCCAAAAATGCCACTCCCAGCTGTGAAGAAAGTGACAAAGAAGTTGTTGAGAATTATAAGGTTTTAACTGACAGTTTATTGTAAATTCTTAGCACAATAATTACAGGGTTTCAGCAATGAAACTTTGTAATTGAACAAAAAATTATGTCTGCCTGTAAAATTTAAGAGAAAGTATTAGACAACCTAAGCAACTTACATTAAAAGAAATATTTAATAAAATGGACAAATAATTTATGATCTTAATGGAATCAAAATTAACCAAAAAAGTTTAACACTTTTTTGGTTAATTTTGATTCCATTAAGATCATAAATATTTCATTATTTCATACACAACTATTTCATATAATTTTATAATGTCTATTTTATACTTTTTACATGTCATGTTAGATTTAAACTGATGATCTAAAATCCAGAATTGCCAGAATCCCAACAATTCTAGATTGTACTATATATGATCAAAATTTTAAGATTTTTTAAAAATTTTTCCTTATTTCCTTTAGAATGTGACCATTATCTGAATTCTCAGTTTTAAGTATAAATTTTATAGACTTTTTGTCTTAATCTCAGGTAATTATCTCTACTGTTTGTAATTCTAAATTCTTTTAAAACAAATTTTTTTCCATGTAGCATTATTTCATGAAGGTATCTATGAAAATACATTTTTGTTTAGTTTTCATATTTATTATCAAAGTTCATTAAAATTGAAAAAAAAAGTGTAATGCTTGCTAAACACAAATGAAAATATATGTTATACAGAATGATTTTACATCAGTCATACAAATATTAAATTGAATTTCAATACAATGAATATATGTTGTTATCTTAATTTCATACCACAAACCTTAAAATGGCTTCTAGTCAGTGAACTTTGACTGATATAAAATAGAACTCAGAATCTTTTAGAAATTTTCTTGTGTGTTCTTTTTTTATTCAGAAAGTTAAATTTATTTTAGTTTGATAAAAATCAGCAATTCGTTTACTTTTCAAACTTCAAATTGAGTTTATTTATTGCTTTTTTTTTTTCTTTCTTTCTCTCTCTCTCTCTCTACAGGTGGAGGTCGTAACCCGATTACACCCCGATTCCTTCGTCACTTCAATTCAATCACTATTAATGAGTTTCGAGACAACATTATGATAACAATTTTTAGCAAAATTCTCTCATGGCACATGAGTACAAGGTAAGTTATTCAAGGTCTTTATGTAAATATGCATTTTGTATCATATTGTTGCATGAATATGGGCTTGTTATATATGATTGAATGCATGCAGCTCCAATGATAGGTTGATAAAATTTATCTTATCGAAAGAAACACTTCAGAAATCTAGAACTTTCTGCAAAACAGTCATACATTTCTTCGCAGTATCACAGAGTACAATCAGTAGATATACTTCAAACTATTATGAATGTTGAATGCAACACAAAGAGCGAAGTTAAACCTGAGATACTACTCGGAATTCACGTTGAGCTAACAACAGCAACCGAGAGCAGATGCTCTCTTCAGATTATATAATTTTCACCTGGCTGCCGAGATATTTCTAGTAATTTCTGCTTCTCGAAATTAATGGAAGACAACATGAGAGTCAAATTATGGTTACAACTAATATTATGATCAATTACATTTATTTAATTATACTACTGTTGCGAGCATACGGGTTCATTATGAATTGAATGCACAAGTACGATGAAATATTAATAAAATGTATTATTATCACAACAAATAAAACAAAATGCTGAAATTTCCTCAGATATTCACACAATATCTCAAGATCTCACAGTAGTTATATTTTAAACTACCAAAAACATTCAACAGAACTTAATTAAAAGCAGAGAAATGTAAAGAAAGCTAATCCGCAAATTCACTACAGTAAACAACTGCAGTTTTCTAAACAAAACTCATAAAACAGCTAACTAACTAACGAATTGAGAAGTTTCCATGCCGCTTATATAAGCTTTTTAAATGCATGCAAATAGTCTAACAATTTCTCGAAATCAAAAAGAGATATTTATTTATTAAATGTTAAATGCACACACTCTTGTATTTTTAATTTTCGGGCATAGCTTTCTCTCAATATTCGTCACGTGCTGCATTGCACAGGGAATAAAACCATTTAATTTAAAATTCTACTTATTTAGCTATTTAAATACTAAATCTGTAACAATACAAATTAGGGTGATACAAAGTCATGGCCAAAATGTCATCAAATGGGCCTCATTAAATTTAGCTACAAAAAATAATTTCCAAAACCATTGCTAGATTATCAATATCTCACCAAATTACCGAGATACCCATTTACTCAATGTTAAATGGACTTGTCCCTGTATTCTTACTTTTCCAGCACAGCTTGTCTCTCTAGATTTTTTTTTACAGTCATTACACAGAAAAATACAACACTTTCACATATGCACTAAAATTATCTATCTATGTACAAAATTCATAAGAATATGTATGTATTTACTTATTCATATTATTTTTGTTATTCTTAATATAGTAAACTAAATAATTTTTGGTGACATACTTAAAACTAATGCTTTTTAAACTGCATATGTCATGCAGACATTATAAACTGAAAAATCTATTATAATTTGATTTCAGTTCAATTGATAGATTGTTCCATTTGTTCTTACAACATTCATAACTAGAATAAAAATACTTTGTTATATATGATATTCTGAAATAAAATAGCTACAGGTTGACATTCAAAATTCCAGCAGGTTCAGAACTTGAGATGTGCCATTTTTGAAAATGATGAATTTTTTCATGCTTATATATATTATATATGCTGTATATATTTAACAGAAAATGTCTACTCACATAGGTGTCCTTTAAAGAAAGAAAATTAAATAATAAATAGAAAATAAATGAAATATTATTGTTTCCCTCACTAAATGAAACAGTTCTACAGTTCAACTGAATAAAATAATTCTACAAACTTTTAATTTGACTAAATAAGTTTCTCAAAATTTTAATCAAAATAAATAAAACAGAGCTTCAGAAATTTTATTTATTACTGTACCCTTGAAAGGA